TCCATGCCTGTCTACGCTGATGAGCTTTCTACCTGCGCCCTCATTCTCGCGGACTCCATCCATCATCCATGCCTGTCTACGCTGATGAGCTTTCTCTTCGACTGACGATGGCCGCGTATATCTCTGCACCACTGTCACTCCATCGTACTCACACTTGCCTTCCATGCATGTTCCTGGTCAAATTCGAACCCACAGTCAGCCGAAAAAAAACGCCCAAAATGCTACCTAAACCCTCGCGGACTCATCCATGCCTGTCTACGCTGACGGGCTTTCTCGTTGACTGACGATGGCCACGTGTATCTCCAGACCACTGTCACTCCATCGAGTCCTTGATTGTCCACTGCAGCTCCTCCGTATGACAGTGCGCCTCGCTCCCCTACTTAAAGAGTACTCACAACACACGCACCAACGAAAAAAATATGGTCGTGTATTCATTCCCATTTTGCACATTTGGTGGGGTAGTGGAGCGAGGCCCATTCTTACGACTCTTAACCACTAAGCAGGCAGCTGGGCGCTAAGTCCTTGACCTCCACTGGGTCGCACCTTGAAAGCTCCCACTCCCCTCCCGTACGAATCCTCAGATTCCTCACTTCTAGTTGCTCCCCGTCATCATACCAGCATCGCTAATCACAAATGCGGTCGCCGGTCGGGATGGTCAAAACTAAGTCGTCTCCCGTTAATACCACTATGGCTAATCAAAGGCAGTCAACGGCCGGGATATTCAAACCTACTTCGTCCGGACCCGAAACCTTCCATCCTTCCGCTCCTCCTCAAACTTGATTGCTAATCAAATGCAGATTGCTAATCAAATGCAGTCGGGATCCTGGTCAAACTTACGTCGTCGGGACCAGGGAGGTGCCGAAAACTCCGCCACACCTTCCGCCTGTCCACTTCGGGTCAAACTTCATGTCGCGACCGTCCAGACTTACCATCCATACGTTGGGACCGGCATCTCCTGGTCAAACTTCACGTCCCGACCATCGGGAATGGCCAACTCTATGTTGGAACCGGGTCCTTTTCAACTCTTGTCGCCATCTCCGTTTCCGCAGCAGAGTGACCGATGTCTACAGCTGGCACGTCTTGGAGTACCTCCTTCTCCCGTTGTTCCTCCTCCCGTTCCTCCTCTTCGTCCCTCCCTGCCGCGGGCTTGCCAATCTCTGTCCTTGGATGTGATTCCACTTCCGACCCATCTCCTTCTTCTTCTTCTTCTTCTTGAGACCCCTGGTGCGTACCCTCTGCATGTTCCTGATTAGACCCCTCCACCTTCTCTTGTATCGTTTCTCCCAACTCCTCGATCTTCTCACCCAACTTTACTGTTTTGGACTTCGCCCCCTCTTCCAGCTTTCCAGCCATCTCCGCTGCCTTCTCCGCCGTGGCCTCTTTCAGCTTTCCAGCCATCTCCGCTGCCTTCTCCTTCGCCTCCTCACTTTTCGATTTCAACGCCTCTTTCGCCTCTTCTCCCTTACATTTCAACGTCTCCTTGGCCTCTCCCGCCTTGAGTTTCACTGCCTCCAGATTCTCCGCAGAGTCACCAGACCGTTCCTTCACCGCCTCCACGCCCTCAGCCGTTGCGTCTTTCGCTGCCGAAACTGTCTTCTTCACAGCCTCGGTCACAATCTTTTTCATGAGGCGATCGGTCACTTTCTGCAGCGCCTCCCCGATGGTTGGGCCTTCCCCTTCGGCCTTTGGGGGGGCGGCAAACCCCGGAGGAGGACCTGTCACGACCTTGCGATGAGGAGAGACTCTCTCTTCCTCCATCTGACCCCTGGCGCTGCTGCTGCTGCTGCTACGGGTGGAGGCGAGCTTCTCAGCCAATGCCTCTTTGACATGAAGGGCCTTATCCTTGGCCGCTTCGGCAATCTCTTCCGCTTCCTCTACCGTGCGGTCCTTCAAGTGTCCCAGGGTCTCTTTTGTCCCGCTCGCGCCCTCCACCACCTTCTCCTTCACCACCTCTCCTGTACCCATGGCCTTCTCTTTTATTCCACCAATCGCTTTGGCAGACACATCCTTAACCGACGCCAATCCGCTGACCAACTTCTCCGTCGCCGTTTGAGATGCCTCCTGCACGTACTCCTTCGCTTTCTCGATCCTCAGCTTGACAGATGGCATAACGTCGAAGGGCTCGTCCGCTGGCTCCGGTGCCGCAAAGCCAGGCTTCAGCCCGCGCATTTCGCTCGCCTCAGGCGTCTGCGGAGAAGCCCCTAAGGACTGATAAGTCGGATAGGGATTGGGAGAGGTGGCACGGCCACCTCCTCCTCCCTTGGCTCCACCACCACCTGCTGTTCCTTCTTCTCTGCTCGGAACCTTAGTCACAGTGGAGATGGGAATTCCCCTTCTCCTCTCCTCTTCCTGAGCGTCAAGTATTTCCTCCTCCTCCTCCTCCTCCTCGTCCTTGCCCCCTCCTCTCGTTGTCGTTATTGGCACCTCCCTTGTTCTCGGTATTGACGACGCCTCCTCATCCCTTCCTGATGTCGCCATATCCTTCATCTCTGGTATGAGCTGTTGTTGCTCAGAGCCGACCAAATCTTCCTCACGCGCCATCTTGTCCTGCTCTGCCCCCATTTCCTGTCTCGCCTACTCAGTTTCACTGTTTTCTGTCCTCGACCTACGTCCAATTTTCCTTCATACCACACGCAGGCCGTCAATCAAATCAGCCACCTCTCCGTCAAAGTCCAGAAAACACTGATTCCCCCCCAAAAAAGACGGAAAAAAAGAAAACCTTTATACCGCCAATTCCCCACAGGCATCCACGTTTTTTTGTCAAACAGGCTTAGCCTAGCATCATAGCCACACACCTCCCTTGGGTTTCCCCTATCACTAACTACATAGAGCAGCACTGTCTAACAACGAAATGATCGAAATCAACACACGGATTACAAGTCTATAACTACACGAGATGTCGAACACACACTATCACACAGTACTGCCAGCCAGGTTGACATCACTCGGATGGCAAAGTATCAAGCAGCTCAGCCCAAAAAACGTTTAAAAACCGAGAAAGGAAAGTAAAAAACGTTACAAAACCGAGAAAAAGGACAGCGCTCACGCTTCTATTGTCTCTCTTCACGCTTCCGTTGACGTCACTTCTACAAATTGCTCCGGCAGCCGCACCGTCTGTGTGCCACTTGTTTGGTCTCTCGTTGTTGGCCGCGACCTCAACTCGCCGAGCGTCACCGTCCCTGTGCAACTTGGTCACATCGTCGGCCCAAGCCTCGAACGTCCATCCTCACAGAAGACGCAATGAAGGCATAATATCACGAATGAACGCTCTTTTGGTTTCCCTCGCTGAGACGAAACTGCAACAGAGAAAACATAATGTCATACATCATTACCAAGAGTAAGACCGCTCCAGTTAATCACTTCAATATGAGCTCAAAGAAACAAAAAAAGATACATAAAAAGCGTATCCCTGAACAGTCTGAAGATCCCCAAACAGAGCAATTCAGCAGCAATTTACATAAAAGCAGCGTATCCCTGAACAGTCTGAAGATCCCCAAACAGAGCAATTCAGCAGCAATTTCAGCTTAATAACGCTGCGCAGTGATGAGACGCATAAATCGAGGAATCTATGCCTAGATCCAAATTAATTGAAAATAAAAAGAACAAAGACAAGTCCAGCCAGCTTAATGCCAGGTGTCCTGTGTCACGTTACAAAAAAAAAAGGTGCCACTTGAGCACAGACTTCCCAGAGAGTCAATCGTACAACCGAGAAGATTTCTCGATTTATGTGTCATCTTTGCGCAGGGGCCATGCTAATCTTAATTCTCTGTATCGTTTCAATTTCAACAGATGTCCAGAAGGCCCCACCGAGAAGAAAAGCATAACCGCACCCCAAGGATGACAGGCACAAATCAGGAAATGCTCCAACTGAAAGAAAAAAAAACAAAAAAATCCTCACACAATCACAAAGGCCAACCAAGAGGTTCAATTGGATATTTACGTAGCATAGAATTAGATATTTATGTACCATAAGACGTACCGTTAGACCTCACCCACGACAAGCAGGGCGAATCATCAATAGATCAAATTCCGCAATAAGTACGTTCTTCCTCGAAACAAGTCCGATGAATCGCCGATGATAACCAATGGTCTCAACCAGCTGGTACACCCACAAACTGTAAAATGCAGACCTGAGTTCGAGTCCAGATGAAACCAGATTAAATAAATTCCTGAATTACCTGGGGCCCGGGGCTGGTCTGTTTCATGATGATATCTCAAGACTATAAAAAAAATCCAAACATGCATTATTGTCGACTCCAGCCGCCGCAATTGTTTTTTACGTCATCGAAAAATACGATGATAAGAAAATATTCCCAAAAGAAAAAACAACGAAACATTAAAATCGAAGAAAAAAATTCCCAAATTAACCAGAAAAAAGACATCGAAATCGAAAGAGCTGGCCAACTCTTCCGCACGACAACCACAACTGTGTCTTACGTCATCGAAAACAACGATGATAAGAAACTTTTCCCGGAAAAAGAAAAACAAACATAAATCGAGATAGGTGATCAACTTCCGCACCAGAAATCATCTGCCATTCTCATGCTACGAGCATTCCGATGCTGACCAGCGGGACGGACAAATTCTGAAAAAGCTAATTCCTATAACGACCAGTAGAACGGACAAATTCTGAAAGCGAATAATGCGAATTCCTATGTTGACCACTGGAAACGGACAAGTTCAGTCGGACGGATCAACAATCCATCCCACCGCGCAAGCGGAGTAACTCCAACGAATGGCAACGAGTAATCCAAACATCAAACATCCATTACTGTCGACTCCAACGCCAGTCATTCTTAACAAGCAAGTCAACGATAATTCCGATGTTGAACAACGATATGTACAGATTCCAATTGTGAGCAAGAGAAAGTCCTGACGTCAGTCCGCTACTGCTGACCCGCAGTCAACCCCCACAACCCTAAACCGCAACCAGTAAAGGCCACATCAACGATAATTCCGATCTTGACCAGCGAACTGTACAGTTTCTGATGGGGAACAAGAGAAAGTCCTAACGCCCGCCCGTTACTGCTGACCCGCGGTCAACCCTCGCAACCCTAAACCGCAACTGGTAAACGTGAATGGTAAGCCCAAACATTCACTGAAGTTCAGGAGCAACCGCAAACCCAAGGAACGTAAACGCAAAGAACGAACAAAGAAATCCAAAGAACAACATTCACTACACTGTGACTACAGTTCAGGAGCAACCGTAAACCCAAAGAACGAACAAAGAAATGCAATGAACCATTACTGCTGACCAACAGTACACATGCTACGAAACGCGCACCGCACAGAGTAGATCATGAGACCCATTTTTTCTTTTTCAGCCGTAGACAAACAGAGGCACGTAATGCCGCAGAAGACAAAAAAACAAAACACGAGAAAAACAGCAGTGCGCGCATGCGAAGAATGAAAAATCACTCACTAACCTAGCTCAGATGGCACATCCCTGAACTGTTGAAATACAGCCATCATTCGATCTCCGCCGGTAGCAGACGATGAAAAATCACCCACTAGCCCAACTCTGAATTGCCTTGGGCCGGTCAGTTCGGTGATGACACCTGAAGGCCGGGCCGTAGCCCTCTATGAGTCTATGGGGAAAAAACGGACAAAAAAAAAAAAAAAAAAAAATCCACCACAAAAAACGAAAGAACAAAAAAAAAAACAAAAAAAAATCGACCATTCCTAACGACTTTAAAGTAGGCGATCGATTGAGGATCCCGACGTTGACCAGCGGAACGCACCGATTCCGACCGGGACCGATGGTAAATCCACTCATCCCGATTCATCCGCCACCGCTGACCAGAGATCGACCCTAACAACCCACCGCAAAAGGGTACGTGCATACAAGCCCTCTATCTAAGACGGACGACCGATAATAAACAAAGACGTAAAAAGAACCAAGGGAAAGAAATCAGTAACGCATGTGAAGGACAAAACGAGAGAGACCAAAAAAAAAAAAAAACAAATTCGCCAGATCCGGAGAGAGAGGTTTTTCAGACAGCCAGGGCCCAGGGACAGAGATGAAAGGCATTCGCAATTTCGCACGCCCTCCTGTCTTCCAGGAACTGGAAGAGAACGCAGAGCATAGTAAGGGCATACTCACACGAGGACGTTTTTGGCAATGCTCTGGGCGTGATTGCAGTCAGATTCGTTCACCTCTGGCCGTAATTGCAGTCACATGCACTTCCGGAAGTGCCTAGTTCAAGAATGCCCCAAGTAGACTGGACAAAATATACCGTACACAAACGCGCAGGTGTGTCTTTGCAATAATCCGCAGCCGTACGGATCAAACATGCAGTAGTTGGACATGCACCAGATAATGAGAAGTGTTTGGCAAAAAGGCACATCTATTGTGTTAACAAATAGGCGAGCTTCTCAGTACGGGATCTTTTTTTCTGTTAAATCAGGTACTGAACTGTTCAGAAAAGTCCAACTCAACGTATAGCCGCTAAGGCACTCGTACGACGATCTTCACGCCGTTCTCAGTCTGCGAATTTCACAGACTGAATTGACGTTAGACACGTCCTAACTAGTACTGCACGGCAGTGCACACCTCCACACACTCTTCCAAATCGGTGACATTCCTACATTGTCTTCCGAAGATCAACACAGCCACACACCCACAAACACACAAATGGACAGAGACAGTGAAAAGGAGAGAGAGACGGTGACCCTCCCTGGGCCTCCCACCTTGCATCCGGACTATTCATAGCCACACACACACACACACACACACACAGCGAAGAAGGGGGGGGGGGGGGGAAGAGAGAAAAAGAGGAAGATTCACAGCCAGACACCCAGAAACAGCACACACACACATAAAGAGAGAGAGAGAGAGAGAGAGAGAGAGAGAGAGAGAGAGAGAGAGAGAGAGAGAGAAGAAACACGCCACAGGATACCAAATGCCGTACTGCTGAGCTCCCTTGACACGTTTCCCTCACCCCTTAAAACACGCACAGAGACCGCCATGGACTATAATTCCACTCATACCTCTTCCATGCCATCGATTACCTGTTATCGGGTTTTCCCACGTGGACCTCTTATCGGTTGCTCCTCGTATTCCCTCACGCCAAGCGTTCACTTTCTGTTGCCTTCCTTGTCCTCCATTCCTTGTCTATATCTGATTTCTACCTTCGCCTCTTCCGCGCCTCAGGGTCATCCTCTCGTCATCGCATTCACCAGCTGTCACCTCCCTCACCCCACTCAACACTTCGCCCTCCTTGTACCGTACCAATCCCGTTCTCTTCTTACTAGACAATGCACCTCCCTCGTCTTCCCATTCTCTCGCACTATTATAGACTAATTCAATACACCTCCAGTTTCCTCTTCGCAGCTCCCGTTCTGTCTCAGAAGTCAATGCCTTCCATACTTTTTTACTAGTCAACGACTCAACGCAGGCTAGTCAACGCAAGCTAGTCAACGCATCTCGGATCTGTCAGCGACAACGTCGTCATGACCTTCCATTCTCGTGCATGACATTGAGCACCTCGCCCTCGCTGCACAGCGGACCAACGGTAACATTTCGTCCCCTAAATTACTTCCTTTCTCCCTTCTCCTCCGAAGTTCCAAAACCCGGCTGCAGTTCACTAGCACGGAATCACGTCCAGCCAGCACCCCGCGTATCACTAATCACCTTGCCCTCCGACTCACTACCTTCCTCTCCTCCTCCTTCCTCTCCGCCTCCTCTTATTGAGAAGTAGTGAAACGATATCTGAGCGGCGGAGGAACGGCATTAAATAATTAAGCACTGCCGCAGGACCGTATGGACTTGCCTTGCCCCGTCCCCAGGTTTCCCCTCTCTAACAGCCACTGGAACCCTCGTAGGATTCGCAGACCGGTCTTTCGGCTACTTTCCCGCCCATTCACGGTTGAAACCGCGCATGTCACTCACCCCGCCGACGTGGCTGAATGGTACACACATGAAAGTCCGACGAAACAGTCTGGCGCAGTCATGCTTTTTCTTTTGTTCTTTTTTTAACAGTCATGCTTTTTCTGATTGTATAGCGGTATGACAACGCGCATGTAATTGTTAGTCAGCAGGGGCGAAGTCCCACTTACCCTGATTCTTCATTTCTGGCCGCTGATCATCGTGATCCACGGTCAGAAGTTGACAACTCGGGTACTACGTGGGACTTGGCCCCAGGTCAGGCGTTCGAGTACACACTACGGTACGGTTTAGGGATATCCTCGTCAGAACAAGGGCGGGAAAAGGACGGGGAAAAAACGTTGCACTGACGTACGCGGGCAGGGTGAAACCTGCTGGCGGTGCTTGTTCTGGAAGTTACCACTCTTCACCCTCAGGCTGCAGGTGCGAGTTTCCGGTTTCACGGGTTCTAGGCTGTTAGCCGCTAATCACCGTTAATCACCGTTAATCTACGGTCAGAAACGTTTGTTCTGGAAGTTGCCACTCATCACGGCGTTACATTCTTCTCTCATCTATCTCATCTTCTTCAAGTTCGTACCATGCATCTATTTCATCCTTCTCTAGTCTATGTTTAGTACTGGGGAACACCTTTTCCCGGGAGAAAGTGGAGAATCCATGTTCAAAGCACCAAGACGCTCCCGTCTTCCCCCGAACATAACGCACCCTAAAATTGAATGTATACAAGATATCTTTCCGGCCAGATACAGCCGAAATAAGGGTGCGTTGTGTTCCGGGTAAGACGGTAGCTCAATTGGTTAGGCACGCAAGTGGCATTCATCCGGGAAAAAGTGGAAAATCCATAATCAAAGCACCAAGACGCTACGGTCTTCCCCCGAACATCACGCACCCTAAATGAATGTATACAAGCTATGTTTCCGGCCAGATACCGCCAAAATAAGGGTGTGTTGTGTTAGGCGTAGCTCAATTGGTTAGGCACGCAAGTGGCATTGAGAAGAAGGTGGTGCGTTCAAACCCCACGGCCTCCTGTGGCACTCTTAGTGGCAACCAACTGAGATAGTCGGCTGGATACTCCCACCGTCTTCCCCGGAACACAACGCACCCACATTTTTACTGTATCGGGCCAGAAACATATCTTGTATACGTTCATTTTCAGGGTGCGTTATGTTCGGGGGAAGAAGGTAGTCGGTATTAGTAAGGTCTTCAGCCACCACGGGTGCGAGTGCCTGTGTGAGTGGGTTGTGTATGGCGTGTGGGAGAGCGTTGGCCCTAGACACTACTTTTACTTGATGGGGGTTTGGGAAGGGAGGGTTCCTTTGAACCCAAGACCTGAAATGGGGGGGCGCAGTGCTACCGGGAGCGCTGCGTGGCAACGCGATAGGAAGGGGATAAAGGAGTATAGGATATCGCATTCTAAGTGTGGTGCGCCGGAATTGCTGCGACAAGTTCGTGGGGTCGAAGGCGCTCCCGCTCATGAGCGGGATCTTCATGGCAGCGTTCAGGACGTTAGCCGAGACGACATACGGAAGGCGATTGTAAGGGAAGAGATGTGCGGGCAATGTGACATCGTGAGTCGCAAAAGGTGAATACAAAGGAGATAGGTGCTGCGTCATTATCATCATCATCAGCAGCAGCATGAAGGGTAATCATCAGCTGCTGTCATCACCATCATCATCGTCATCATCGTCACCTTCGGCTTTATCATCGCCGTCATCATCATCATCATCATCATCATCATCATCGGCACGGCACTATCATCGCGGTTATCATCATCATCATCATCATCATCATCAATATTGTATGATCTAATCATCCAATCCGACCTTTAATAGCATCATTTCACTACAATCCATTAAGATCCTAACTACTTTTCTCGAACTAATATACAAGCTACGATCCCATTACGACCCTAATTACTTTCTCTAACTAATATCCAAACTAAAGTCTCATTACATTCTTGATCTTTTATCCTTAAAATCTGAAATTTCTTGTCTAATTAACATATAATTAACATATAAGGTATTTTTATATGCGTAAACTTCCCTGCCAAAAATTCAGGAGGATTTAATTCCTAAATTTTCCCTATAGACTCCCATTAATTTCTTCATATTATTTCTTACAGCTGGAATTCTAGATACGAATCCTTTTTCGCTAAAATTTCCAATCTCTGAATCATTTCACTTTCCAGGTCTAATTTTCGCTGCTTTTACTTCCACAATGCTGACTCTGATCAATTCCAGTTCAGAAACCTCGTCTTTGAAATTCATTTGAATTTTTTCAGTGCATTTTTTCGAAATGCCAGTTGAATTCCTGGTATCTATACTCTCCTCTCTGAAGTATCCACGTTTATTTCTGATGGATGGAAGAAGAGGGACCAGGGGAGAGTTCCACTCTGCAGGGGTGACACAAGGTGGGAGGTGAAGCCCTGTAGGGGGTGCGAGCAGAGTTAGTGGGTTGCCTTAGTCTGGGATTGGTGGGGGGGTTACTCACACCAGCGGGGGCAGATCAGGGTAAATGGTGGGCAGAGGCATACTTTGGGAGGGAACAGTATGCCTTTCTGGGACAAGGCGGGGGAAGGTTGGACTGTCACGAGTTGGGGCTGTGATGGGTTGCCTGTAGTCTGGGTAATCCATTTCGGCGGAGGCAGCGTTGGGACAGGGTGGAAAGGAGGGGAAGGGGGGAGACTAATGGCAGGATACCATCATCATCATTCATGTCATATCATGCCTATTGGTGTTCTGCAATTATGGACGGCATCTGGCATTCTCCCTTATTCGGGATAAAGGATTTCAGAGATGATCGAATCTGGACCGACATCTGCAGAGTTGCCTTATTTTGTGTCGTGCCCCCTGGTTAGCCAATGCCAGAATGACGCTGGCCGGAGCTGGGGCGGTGCCCTGTAACCTGCATTGGTGGGAGCGTGAGGCCTTGTAGAGAAATCTGGGGATCTGCTGAGGGAGAAAAGCAATCCAGTGGCGAACCGGGGGGGCTGCCTTGACAACCCTATGGGGTCAGGGATAGTATAGGTGGCGAGAACAGGTCAACTATAATTGACATTGGTGAGGACACTGAGGAGGGCATTGTCTCTGAGATGTAATGTCTTGGTACAGGGAGGGTTAGGAGGGGTTCTAGGATTAGGAGGCCAGAAGTGCTGATATAGCATAGTCTCTATATTTTTCTATATTTTTCACATACTAATTATCATAAGCATCATCATCAAAATCAGCATCAGCATCAGCATCATCATCGTCATCAGGTTATATTTAGCTTTCTGGTGTTCTGGTTTTCTTGGCAGCATCTAGCCTTCTTCTACATCTGCGAGATAGGAATTCAGAGATGGTCGAACCTGGACTGATATCTGCAGAGTTGCTCTATTATGTGCCCCTGGTTGACCGATGCCAGAACGACGCTGGCCGGAGCTAGGGCGCTGCCCTGTAACCTGCAAATGGCAGGAGCGTGAGGTCTTATAGAGAGATCTGGGGTTTGCCGAAGGAGGAAGGCAATCCAGTGGCGAACCGGGGGGGGCTACTATGTGGCGAGAAGAGATCAACTATGGGAGATGTAGGTTAGGTTGGTTTTGTCTCTGAGTTACAATGTCTTGGTACAGGGAAGACTAGGAATTGGTATAGGATTAGGAGGCCAGAATTGTTGATATAGCACATGCTTCTATAATCTTTATAGATACTAATCATCATCATCACTAGCATCATTCAGGATCATCATCATCACCACATGAGGGACGCTGAACCCGGTTCTCAGCAAGTTTGGTTCAGTTACTCCGGGCAGACTATGAGGACCCCGGCCTCAACCCACAATCTTCTTATTGGTAATACCAGGCTTGGGCACTTCAAAAAAAAAAAAAAAAAAAAAAAGGAAGATAAGAAGGGAGGCACAGTTACTGGCAAATGCTCAGTCCTTGTGTTAGCTGAGCCCCCACCGGCGGCCCCAACCCTGCACCCTAAGCGCTAGGGCAAAGGGGCAAACATTCCTCCCTTCACCGAAGAGAAGTAGAAAGCTATGCTTGCAGGGGTCCCCTGTATAACCTTAGGAGTAGTGGTAGGTCGGTAGTAAAAGAAAGATATGTTTCATGATGACATGGCAGAATGGCAATTAAAAAATATGTGAGGTGAGAGAAAAGTATATGGCTATCCCCCCCTGAGGAGAAGGCAGTTTCTTTGACTCTGAGGCTAGGAATCCTCACAAACAACCTGGGGGACCACCGAAGAACTCTGGGACCATTATTCAGTTTTGATTTAGCCATGCGGCTAGTGACGTCCGAGATCTGTGAACCATTATCTTGAGCCCTCTGCTCTTCTTACACTCCTATAACACCAACCTACCAGGTCTATTTCGACCAGTGCACCTGATTGGAGCACCTTCTAGGTAGACGCTCCTACCACCATGCCCAGTCCCAAAGGGACCCAACTCACCTATCTGCCTGCCTCCTGCGGACCTGCGGCCGAAAGAACGAGTACCCTGGTTCCTACTATGATCCTATAGCTAAGTATGAACAAAACTCCAACCCCACATCACCATCAACACTCGCTAACCACTTTGATGTCTTTTCCGGGCCCCAGGTTCTCCAGAACCATCTACAACTCCTACTATCCC